AAATAAATTTATGGGAAGAGAAAACTTACTACATTAGATGGACTAGTGAATGGGGAGTGATGAAGAGGAAAGGATGATGGAGAACACTTCAGAACTTCATTCGGAAAAGAAGATGAGGCAGATCACTATAGAGATAGGAACATAGACTCAGAATTGGGTTCTATGAGATAGAAGATAAATGAGTGTATTCATGGACTATGTGGAAAGAGTTAATAAAGCAAAGATGGTGTCTTTGGGGGGAGCTGTGATGTCATGATGCTCGGGCCCAGCAGTGCTTGGGGGTCTCCTGATGGTATTTGGGGGAGGTGTGTCTGTTGGAGATCAGGCCTCAGTAGTGTCCAGCATGCCTTAGAGCTAGCTCCCAATCTAAATGGGTGAAATCTTAAGAGAGAGTAGGACATGGTGGAATGAGATTCTAGAGAGGAAAAAACAAACAAAAAGCAGAACAAACAAACACAAAACAACAGAGGAAGAAGAACTCAGCGATACCAGTTATAAATAACTATGAATGAATGAACTACTTACTTTGAACAAGAAAAGGCAGGAAAAACAGTCACTCAAAGACTGAGGAACAGCAATCCTAAACCAAATCTTATGTTGCAAAACTGGGGGAGAAAAATTTCTTACATCTGGGTTGACTTTTACCTGCACATTGATTTTGTTCAATACCCATAGAAACCCTCTAAGGTAAGAGGGATGGTTTGGGGGTTTGTTACTCTGTTTGGTGGTGCTGAGGGGCTACCAAGAGGTGATCAGTAGCACCTCAGCTGGGGCCCAGGGTTCCATGTGGTTTAAAGATACTCGCTATGAGGTCCCAGGGATCAAATTAAGGGCCCCACACATCCTAGGCATGTGGGCCCATTTCAGTTATCTACCCCCTGATTTCTGTTTTTCAGTCCCATTCTAGAACAGGAAATTAAAGTCCAAGATTATGCAATTTATTTAAGATCACGGTATCAGTCAATGGTGTGTGCTAAGGACTCTCAGGATAGTGCTCTTTCCCAAAACTCAGAGATCTCTAGGAAGTGCAATGATGCAGAGGGAGAATTTCTGCCCACCATCACTTATTTGACAGCCGACAGCTTGATTGCTTGAATGCCACTCCTCTGGAAGCTTGCAGGGAAGTAACAGGGAGTACACAGTTAAAAGCAGCCTGTTCTCTGGAGATAACCTGTATGCACATCCTTCGAAAGGTTCCTTTAATAGAGGAATATTTCAGACTTGTCTTACTTTATCAATATGAACAAGATGAACATTTGGTTAATATATGAACCTCCCTCCCCTTTCTTATGGGTGTCAGGTAAAACTGAAGTATGTAGATTAATCAGCCCCAGGCATAATACTGACAGTTTCACTGACAGAGGCAAAGGAGATTCAGCTACTCTCCCTCACTGAACAGGAACTCTGCCCTTTAGCATAAAACATGAAAGGAGGTTTCTGTAGTTTTGCCAGCTCAGCAAGAGAGAAAATTAACTCTACGTTTTCTTATCCCAGTCACCTCAGCATGGGCTGGGGTAGGGGTGGAGGCTCAGAGTTACGGAGTTTCAGCACGAAAGAGCAGTGCTGATATGTCTGCAGCCTGGTATAGGCTAGAATAAATTATAGACACCAGAAGTAAACCCATTTCTGTACATGCCACGTATTTTTTTTAAGGCTTTCTGCAAGTCCATACTATTTGGCAGAAGAGGAAAAAGTCATTTTAATGATTTCCTTTTATGATAAAATTTGAAGATATGTGGTAGAAGTCATCTTAATAAATGAAGTTTCAATTATAGTAAGTAGAATGCCTCTGTTCAATGACTCCACTTAGTCTCTGGGTGACACTGGGTGTGGCTCAGAGAGATTTAGGTGGAATCCAATTCATCACTAGGGAGGAATAATCCACACCAGGCAGAAAGCTGCATCTTTCCACACCTCTCTCACCCTGCAAGGTTGGGATTCTAAGCCACAGATCACGTTCTCTAAAATAAGAATTATTTGTTGTATGAAAAAAAGGCAGATTTGAGAGGTTGAACTGGTGGGGAGAGAGGGAGGGGGCCTGCTAGCACTGGTAATCTTTAGCCTTCAGTTATAAATTAAAGTCCTTTAATTCTTAAACAAAGGGAACACCTCATTTTCTTGCCCTGTGGACAAAGATCACATCTTGCAAGTTTTTCATCATCTGCAATTCGCATGGTAATTAAGCTATTTAAAGTTAGCCCCAAGATATTTGAAAATCAGGGACCAATGCAATCTCAGCAGTTCTTTTATTTTAGTGTTTCTTTGAACACGCCTTTTTCATCTCCTTATCTCCATTCCACGCCCATTCTTGTCTTTCAACTATAATAATCAATAGAGGTAATTAATGGCTAATAAAACACATTTATGCTTTCTTCACTGGTAATGTAGTACAAGTCAGAAATCCTAGAACTGCTTCTTTATGTAGCTCAAGTGGAAGAGGAAGGAAGTGCAATCCCTCCAGCCCCCTCCCACATTTCTGCTGGATTTCATGGGTGTGGCAGAGTTTAGACCTTTGCAGGTTTTTGCCCTTTTTTTATTCCTGGTTAAGGACTAGGATGCTGATTAGATGCCAGATGAAGGAAAACGCAATTTGAGTCTTCCACAAATGACATAAGATCATTTCACCACAAGCTAGAAACCTGTGTATGAGAGTGAAGTACTCATGATATATAAATGCCAGCCCATGGAGTGTGGAGCCCACGCCCTGAATATACCGGCTTCTTCAGTCTGATTTAATGGCATCCTAAACACTGACTTACATGAATGACATCCAACCGTGTTAAGTAGCAAGCATGATCATTTCACACAGTAATAGGATATGTGCACAAAATGTATGGATGAAATAGGACAATTTTGATTCCTCCCAATCTCGTTTCTTCAATGTAAATTGTGATGCAGGCATGTGGAAGCCATACAGAGCACATGCATGATCTGATCGTTATACATTAAGTATGCGGCTGCTACACACATTTACATATGAATTTCCATCCCTCTTGAAACACACCATTTCAGCTTCCTCACTGCGCAATCAAGGGAATATGTAGGGTTATGTCTGTGATAGAGAATCTGAGTGAAGGCAGCAGAGTCCCTTTTGTCGGAAGGGACATGTATATACATGCATATACATGTATGTGTCTGGAGGGAGGTGAAAAGTTGTAGACTGAAGCACTTGGATTTACAAAAGAAAGCTTCTTGAATGAATAGCCCTGACTCCCTTAGAACTCTTCCTTCCTAAATTTTATTTCCCCCCGATCACCAGTGGGGCAACCTCAGAGTGCTATTTTTGATAGAATCTGAACATAGACACCTGTATCTATTGCATTGAAGGACTAGAAGGAAGACAAGGCAAGGAAAAAGATCAGAAATACCCTGGTACAAAACCTAGGCGCCTGCGATTTATTTATTTATTTATTTTTGCCATGTCTCTCCCCACCCACTGCTCTGGTATTTCACTGCTCCTTCCTCTTCCTCGTCCCCCATCCTCACTCCCCACCCCTCCCTCCTTCCAGGGCGCTGGCTAAATGTGCAAAAGCTGGTAGACAGTTTCTTGTCCCTCCCCTCTGCATCCCAATTCGGATTCAGTAAACGGATGACAAACGTTTATTACCTGTATGGCAGTCATGCCCAAATTCTATATGCTTTGCACCTGGCTCTTAAATCAATCGATCTAAGATATATATATATGTATATATATATATAATGTATTATATATTTATTTATTTATTTTAATTTTCGGGCCACGTCTGCCTCCTTTCCCACAGGCACGGCACACACGCCAAGCACACACGACCCGGCCCCTGCCCCACCCTCAATCTTCCTCTTTCACCTTCTCCCAAAAATCACTCAAACCTGTTCCAATAAACGTGTGCAAGCTTGGGCTGGGGGAAATACCAGGGCACAGTCCAGTCCGTAGCACCGGGATAAGGGAGTTACCACCGCCCCTGCCCCCAGCCCTGACTTCCCCAATCAACTTGCTGAATGTCTTTCAAGAAAGAAGTGAGCAATTCTGAAACGGAAGGAAAAACCTCGGGGAATGGGGAGTGGGGAGTGGGGGAGGGGAGGAAGGGGCTCTCGGATTCTTGCTAATCTTCTATGTTTCCGCCTTCCCGTCGAAAATGAGTCACCGAGCTTATGATCTCGAATGCTAGCTCCTCTCTGGCCGTGGGCAAGCCCGGGGAGGATGCAAGGGGAGAGAAAAGCCCCGATTTCCAACAGGTAACCCTGGCCCGTTTTTGCCATCCCAGCGGAGCCCAAAGCTCCCAGGGGCGTGGTCCAGCCTCTCCTCCGACCAGCTGGCGCACAATCGGCCCCGGAGCTGGGGAAGGGGATTTTCCCCCTTCCACGCCCCCAGTTTCCCCACATCCCCCCACCCCCGGCCCGGGCTGTCTGTAGATCGTCTCTCTTTCGAAATCCCCCCAGTCGGTTTCATTCATTCATTGGAGAATAAATGAAGAAAACCTTCACACGGTGCCCCATCAATACCTGAGCCCATCCGAGGCTCACACATGCAGGAAAGAAGCCTTCTCCCGCAGCACATGTGAGAAAATCGCACCGGGGAACAAGCGTGCTCAACCCTGAACGTTGCTTCTCCATCCTTGCTTTTCCTCCTTTTTGCAAATTTTATAAAGGATCGCCTCCCCATCTTGTAGGTAGAGCCCACATGCCCCCCACACCCCTTTTTTCCCCCCTATCCACACCCGCAAAACCAGAGACCTTCAATGCTGAACGGACAACTAAAGAGAGAGAAAAAAAATCGCATTTCTAGCCAAACGGGAGTATTTTTTCAAACCTCGTCCCTAATTCGTATCAGTATTCCAAAACCGGAGCATGAAAGCCAGCCTGGAATAAAAGCTGGGATGCGACCATCAGTTCCCATATGCTACAGAACCGCGAGCACCATCGCTAGAGCAGAAGCAGTTACATGTTCTTTCTGCTTTCATAGAGAAATCTTTCACTCCGGTCATTTCCCGACAGTAAGAAGTAAAAAGCTTTAGCTCTACCTGTTTGGTTCTTCTCATACAGCACAGCATGGTTGTAACGTCCCTTGCCTTCTTCCTGCCTCCTCTCCTTTCCTCCTCTCTTCCTTATTCCCCCCCTCTCCACCTCTTTTCTGCTCGCTTGCTCACTCGCTCTCTCGCGCTAGCGCGCGCTCTCTCTCCCTCCCTCCCTCCCTCTCTCCCTCACACACACCAGGGCAGTTAGCAGCAACTGGAAGGTCCACAGCTATTGCTCATCGCACATGCTCTCTCTCTCTCTCTCTCTCTCTCTCTCTCTCTCTCTCTGATCTGAGCTCACCTCTTTTTCCCTTTCTGTCCCTCTTTCCCTCTCCTTCTTCTCTGCCCCCTTTCCTCTCCCCCCACCCCCCTCCTCTATCTGTCTTTTTCTTCCCTGTCTCTGGGTCTCATAGAATTGTGCTCTAGCTTTCAATGACTAATCACTTCCCCCAGCCCCCACCCCATTCTAGACACTCACCCCCTCCCAGTCCCCTGCCAGTCTCATGAATATTTAAACATCTCCAATCTGGACCCAATTACCCACCGACTCTCCTACCGCATTGAGAGGGTGGTGGGGTGGGGCAGAGGAGTATATTCCAGCCTGTTCAAGAGAGTGAATGGAATTTGTTCTAGGGCAGAGGGGCTTGAGGAATGCGAGCTTTTTTTTTTCCCTTTTTTAAAACTAATTCTCCTATTTTCCCCATTATCTCAAAAGCAAGGCAAGGCTATTCTTAATGGGTAGTCAGCTTTCTACAATATACGTTATGCCTGCTATTTAAATTTAATGCAAATAATTCCGTTAACTTCTCTGAAAATAAAATAAGCAAATATCAAACGATCTATCTAGTATGAGTATTTATGTAACTAAAATAAATATATATACAGCCTAGACAAACACAGATATTCCATATATGATCCTATATGATCCAGTATCCTTGAAAAAGCCACATGAAGATATACTATTTAAACACTCTATGTACTTGATTTAAAGAAATAATTACTAATATTTAGAAATTAGCTTTTATTCTCAAACCATATAGTGTTTTCTCCTTAATACATATACACCTATTTGATAACTAGGGTTTCTTTTGAATATGCTGAAAATACTGAGCATGTTTGAACAAAATGTCTGTGTAATATTAATGTTGCCCACAAGGATGTTTTACTGTTTGGCCAAGTAGTAAACTAAACTATTATAAGAAGATGTACCTTGAAGCAAATTTCCCAATTCCTTCTGTGCTTTTTCAAAATTTGAGTGTTGGAAAACATGAAAGAAAAACAAATAGGATAGAGTTGGAGAGACAGTTGAACAGGCTGAGCACAGGCTTTGCTTGAAGGAGACTCTGATTTGATTCCTGGCACTAAATAATCCCCGAACACCACTGGTAGCAACATAGTGACAGGATTAGACTCCAGTACTGCCAGGAATGGCCCAATAACAAAACAAACAAAACGGACAAAAGGTATTCCTTAAATGTAATGTACTGTGATCTTGAGACGGTTTCTAAACCACTTTTATCTAATTTTTGAATCTGTACAATAGGATTAATGCTGACAAGGTGGTGAGAATCAAATAATATAATGCATGGAAAGCACAACAAAACCATTCTCAGTATTTAGTAGCTAGACTGAACTTTTCCAAAGTTTTTATGACATTTCTCACTATATATCTGAAAGAACTTTTAGAATTATTTGTTATTTATTAGTGGTGATAAGCATCCCAGATGTTTATTAAATATGATAAGCATCCCTCGACACTGCCCTGCTAAGACTGGGTGTCAACAAAGCACCTTATTGTCATACATGTTATCATGCTCATTGAGCTTAATTGGTGCTTAATATATTTTAAGAAAATTCAGGGTACCCATCTCAGATTGGATTATCTCAGAGAGACAGAATACCTAGGGAATAATGCCTATAACTGGTCCCCAGAGGTCTTCCTGAAGAGCTTAAGTTGGTCTTTTACTCCCTTCAGTTTGCATCTTAATCTTGATATTTTGTGTCACAAAACCAAAAGAGCAGAATAAGTTTCTGTGCTTAATTTAAAAAAATATATTATAATGAATCTAGTCAAAATTACACTTTCAAAATCAGCATTCTATGAATGTAATGATAGGAGAATATAAAGAATAAGAAATCCAATAAAAAATTAGTGGACAAAAGACATGGATGGTTTACTTCTCCAAAGAAGGAAAGATGGATGGCAGATATGTGGGGGAAAAAATCCTCAACTTCATTTATTATTAGGGAAATGTAAATCAAAGCCAGAATAAGATATCACCTCAACCCAGTGAATATGGCTTATATAAAGCACTGTAGCACTGTCCTCCCATAGTTCATGGATTTGATCAAGTGAGCACCTGTAACGTCTCCATTGTGAAACTTGTTGTTACTGGTTTGGGCATAATGAATATGCCACGGGGAGGTTGCCAGGCTCTGCTGTGCGGACAGGATACTCTTGGTAAATTGCCGGGCTCTCGGGGAGGGACAGAGGAATCGAGCCGGGGTCAGCCGCATGCTAAGCAAATGCCCTATCTGCTGTGCTATCGCGCCAGCCCATGACATATAAAACAAGCTAGAAAGTAGTGTTGGTGGAGATGTGGAGAAATAGGAATCCTTAGTTATTACTAGTGAGAATATAAATTGATGCACAGCTGTTGGAGGAAATGGTATGGAAATTTCATAAAATAATAAACGTTGCAATAGTTAATAACCCAGTGCTACTACTCCAAGTCATTTATCAGAAAGAATTGAAAACATGAATTTGAAAGAATATTTTCAAACCCATATTCATAATAGCATAAAACATAGAATCCACCCAAATGCCCAACAACATACAACTGGATAAATAATGAAAATTAGTTGTCATTAAAATTTTAAAAGATGGGAGCGGATTACCACCAGCTACTCTCAGCAGCTTTGGAACACTAGTTTAAACCAGCACCACATCCTTCCTTCTCCCCTTCAATGCCCATCTCCTAACCCCCGCCCTGGACACACACACACACACACACACACACACACACACTCACATCCTCATTACGTCATGGATATGTTCAACAAGGGAGAGACCCTTAGTCCCTCTGAGCACTGTTTGGGGAGACTCCCATCTACAAGGATGAAAACATGCCTCGGGGACAAAATGATCCCAAACTGGAGTAATTATATAAACTAAGTAAGTCAGAAAGTGAAAGACAATGACCTGATTTTTTTTTTTTGCTCATGTACAGAATATAAATTACTGAAGCAAATCAACTGGCAAGAAACAACAAAACTAACTTCCAGACTCTATGAAAACTATGGTGGTGACCAGTGGGGGGGAAAAGGCAGATAGAGAGGAAGGATATAGTGGTGGAATGAACCTGCAGCCTTGGTGGCAGACAATGGTAGCAAATGGTTGCTTACATTTAGGAATATGATTCTAAACCTTAAAACTGCTTATTGTTGTAGGTCAATGAAATAATAAAAAAATACTCATTATGGTTTAGGTAACATGTTAGAGGAGTGATCAAGCTTGTGGTATTGATGTATGCATTACTGCATCCCAGTACCACTACCACAGTGCACGTGATCCTCCTCCACTGTCCCTGTGTCTCTGACCCTCCTTCCACTATTTGTCAATCAGTTTTGTGACAGAAAACCATGGGTTTCACATTGTACTATATTGTCTGTTCCTTTCTTTCATCTATCTATATAGCACAGTTATCCTGTTTATGTCCTTCTTCCTCTGATTTATGAAAACTTTAATTGTAATTCATGGAATGAAAACAACTGTAATAGGCAATATATGGCTTCATCAGAGACATTCTAATTGTGAATGTGGAGTGATAAGAACAGAAGCCTGCCTTCCTTTCTTTTCCTTCCTTCCTTCCTTCCTTCCTTCCTTCCTTCCTTCCTTCCTTCCTTCTCTTCATAGCAATATCACAAACTGCTTATCTTTAACTTTCCGATTCACTTCATTTAACATGATGCCTTCCAATTTTATAAAATTGCAGTACTCTGAATTTTTATCATCTCTCACCACTGAATAGTATATCATTCTGTATATATACCAAAATTTCTTTCTTTTCCTTTTTTTTGGGAGAGGTGAGGGGGAAGTTGGGTCACACTCAGTAATGCTCAGGGGTCACTCCTGGCTCTGCACTCAGGAATCACTCCTGGAGGTGCTTAAGGGACCATATGGGATGCCGGGGATCAAACCCAGGTTGGCCATGTGTAAGGGAAATGCCCTCCAGACTGGACTATGGCTCCAGCCCCCACAATTTGTTTATCCACTCATCTGTTGGCACTTACGTTATTTCAAGTGCTTCACTATTTGAGTAGTGATGTATTGAATATTGGTGTACATATCTTTTGGATTGTTATTTTTTTGTTCATTGGATAGATTTTCAGAAGTGGGATATGGGATCATTTGAAAGTTCTATTTACAATGTTTTGACAAGTTTCCAGGCAGTTTTTTTTCTTTATTTTTTTTTAATGTAGGAGTATTGGTATTTATTCAGACACTGATTAGCTGATTGAATTGGGCATGAACTCCACCTTACTTTTTAAAAATTTTTTTTATCACTTAATCACTTAATCACTTAACTTCCCGTTAGTCGTCGATTTGCTCGAGCGGGCGCCAGTAACGTCTCCATTTGTCCCTGTCGCGTGCTAGTGTAGCCCAATGGCATCTGTTCGCTCCGGGAACATGAAGGGCCTCAAACCGATCGTTCATGATCTTGACGAAGAAGTCTGACCATCTGGTAGGTGGGCGGCCACGCGGTCTTTTGACATCCCGTGGAATCCAGTCGGTAACAGCTCTAGTCCAGCGGTCGTCTTTAAATCTCATTACGTGACCAGCCCATCTGATTTTCGACACCTTGGCAAATGAGACAGCGTCCCTGATTCTTGATCGTCGACGGATGTCAGAACTCCAGATTCTTTCTCTCATTTGAGTGAAACGTGATATTCCAAGCATAGCTCTTTCTATTCTTCTTTGGGAAACCTGAATAGTGTTCTCATCTTGTTTGCGTAGGGCCCAGGTCTCTGAGGCATATGTCAATGCAGGAAGAACAGTGGAATCAAAGTGGAATTCCACTCTTTATCAAAGTGGAATCAAAGTGGAATAAAAAAAATTAAAATTTTTTTTATAATTTTATTTATTGAATCACCGTGAG